GTACGAAACGCAATAAATCACAGAAAATTTTTCAAATAAGTACCAAGTTATTATAATCATGGACACCCGCTCCAAGAAAACTCCCGAACCTGTAAATCCCGAGGCCGTAGCGCAACTTCGAAACCAGATAGCAGAACGCGAAAAACGTATAACGGAGGAGTGTCGCCGACTCGAAACCCAACGATTAGAATTCGAGACAACGCGTCGCGAACGCGATAACGCACTCGCTGCAATGCAAGCAATGCGGGAAGAGTATAAAACAATCCTGGAGCGCTTGACAGCACCAACCCGTCGAAATTCCGGAACCGTGCCCGGAATCCTTTAACTTTACAATGAAAGAAGCCCTCGCAACAATCCCTACATTCGACGGCACGGACTCATCTATTCTAAGTTTCACACGCGCATGCCGACGAGCTCGCGATTTGATTCCCCCAAACGCGGAAACGACACTCGCGCGTCTAATTTCCACGCGTCTCCGAGGACGCGCCGCGACAGCCATCGAGGACGAGCGATTCAACACGATCGCGGATCTTTGCAGCCGTTTGAAAGACGTTTTCGGCCCACAAAGAACAGTAGACCATTACCGCGGAGAAATGGCAAATATTTTCATGAAAAAGGACCAACACGTTCTCGACTTTATAAGTCGAACAAAGGACATCCGTGACGCGATTATAGATTGCGACCGTCGCTCCCCGAACATTTCAGATATCGATACACTAACAGCAGACTGCTTTATCCGTGGCGTAATTCCACAGATAAGAACCGAACTACGTCATCTGCGTGGTAGCCCTCTCACGCGCGTTTTCAACGAGGCTATCGAAATATTTAAAGAATTAGAGACCGATAGCAAGCGATACGGTCGCACGCCAGAAACAAAGCACGTCCAATTCTCGCCGCGTGATAAAACGCCGGAACGACGCGAAGAAAGACGCGTTTACACTCCACCCCCCTTCCGCGACACGTGGCGATCATCGTCGCCGAGACGTTATTATCGCGACGAACCTAGGCCGATGAAACCCGAGCCACCGCGTCGTCCCTATCAACCGCCGTACCGAAGCACGTACGAACCTCCGCGACGTGAATATCGCGAACCGCAGCACGATAACAACCGACAAAACGTGCCGCCGCGTCATTGCACTTACTGTCAAATTCCCGGGCACGACATTCACGAGTGCCGTAAACGCGCACGCAATCTAAATAGACAGCCGGGAAACGATCGAGACCTCCCACCTCGCCTGAACCGCGGTCCGGAGGTCAAACCAGTCCAAGTTCAGGAAATAAAAACCGAGGAGCCCGGACCCTCCGCGTCGACTTAGAAGAGTGGTTTACGCCCTTCATCCTCGTCGACGCTGCGCAACTCACGCAACCTACACCACTCATGGTGGATACGGGCGCCGAGCCCAGTCTAGTTAAAATATCCGCGCTAAAGCCGGATACGCGCATTAACAAAAATGATATTCTAAGCATACGCGGGGTTACTCACGAACGAGTCACCACCCTGGGGTCCGCTTACCTCACCCTCTACAACACACCTCTCAAGGTTCACGTAGTCCCGGATTCGTTCCCCATAAATGTCGAGGGAATCCTGGGCTCCACCTTTCTGAGAGGTCAAGCAACGATATCGTACACGAAAAACAGTGTAATTTGGAACGACATAGCGAATCCATTCTTTAATAAAAATCAAACCGAAGAGATATGTGTGGAGGCGCGATCCGTGACCTGTATCCCACCGGCCCGATCGTCGGATAGGTGCCGCGCCTCACCCTCGCTGCAGGCGTCACGACGCTTGACTGCCTTGTAAAACAAAACAACGGCATTTCATATATTCGATGTGTAAACACGTCTTCTAAGGCTATCGCCTTCTCCATTCCTTCAATCCAAATATTAGAAATCGACGAAATTCATAACGCTCCTACTTCAAACACTGAATCTCGCGTAAACGCTATTCAGTCTAGAACTCCATTAGAGAGAATCGACGAAATTCTTAAACTGATCAACACGGAGCACCTCAACCAAGAGGAACTAGAACACACCCGCGAGCTAATATCACAAAATTACGATATTTTTCACCTACCAGGTGACGCGCTGACCAGAACAGGGATCGTAACACACAAGATTGTAACATCAGACCCGACTCCAATAAATGTAAAGCAATATCGATACCCCCCAATCCACAAGGCCGAAATAAATAGGCAAATGAAGGAATTGTTGGACAACGACATTGTCCGACCTTCAACATCACCCTACAACTCGCCCTTGTGGATAGTTCCAAAGAAAGCCGACAAGCAGGGACAAAAACAGTGGCGGATGGTTATAGATTACCACGGATTGAATGAAAAATCCGTATCCGACGCCTACCCACTGCCCAGCATAAACGAAATACTCCATCAACTTGGAAGCGCCAAGTATTTTAGCGTCTTTGATCTGGCCAGCGGGTTTCACCAGATTGGAATGGAGAAGGAGGACGCCGAGAAAACGGCCTTTTCCACCCCATACGGCCATTATGAGTACACGCGCATGCTGTTCGGTTTAAGGAACGCTCCCGCAACCTTTCAGCGCCTAATGGACGCTGTACTAATGGGACTCCAAGGTACCGAACTCTTTGTGTACTTGGACGATATTGTTATCTACGCGAGCTCACTACAAGAGCATCAAAATAAATTCAATAAATTGGCTGCAAGGCTGCGCGACGCGAACCTTAAACTCCAACCCTCAAAATGCGGGTTCGTCCACAAAGAAGTGGCATATCTCGGCCACGTCATATCAGAAGAAGGCGTCAAGCCCTGTCCACAGAAAGTTTCCGCTGTCAAGGATTTCCCAACGCCTAAAACAGCGAAAAATGTAAGGGAGTTCCTTGGCTTAGCAGGGTATTATCGTAGATTCATCGACAAATTTTCTATATAGAAATACCTGCATGTAGTACTTCTTCGGTACCTATCCCAACTCCAGAGTTCATCACGATATCTCCACTATAATATTACGGAGGTGCTGACATAGCTGCACGGTCTAATTATTAAGGAGATATCTAGTATAATAGACAACACGGCGGTGCGGACATAGCCGCACGGTCTTACGACTATTGGAGTAAAGGTTCAAGAAACATCCCGTGGTTTGGAAAAATGTTTGCTAGGGATAGGTTTCAATTAATTTTGAAGTTTTCCATCTGATAGACAATAGCAGTTTGACACCATCAGGACATTCAGATTACGATCCGTGCGGTAAATTCAACTTCTTAATGGATTACGCCAATAAAATTTTTCAGGAACAATATACTCCACACTGCCAGTTGAGTATAGACGAATCGTTAGTTGGTACTCATTGTCACTCTATTATAAAGCAGTATGTTCCTAATAAAAAACACCATAAATGGGGAATCAAGTTCTGGATGATTTGCGATTCTATTTCAAACTATTGTTTAGGATTTTATTGCTATCAAGGTGCAAAGTCAAGCGACGATAAAGAAGAAATAAAAAAAGAATGGTCTCGGATATGCAGTGGTTGAAAAATTGCTAACACTAGGAAATTACATGAATAAAGGATACCACTTATTCATAGATAATTTTTTCACAAGCATTCTCCTTGCAAAAGCACTGTTACAGAAAAACACATATCTAACTGGCACCATTCGGAGAACTAGAAAACATATTCCGAATGAGGCAAAATTTGCACCGGTTGGTCAACCGGAGTAGCTCCGCAAAGTTAATTCATTGCGATGGCAAAAACACCTGCCCGAGTTGGAAATTGTGCACTGGAGTAAAGCACCAGTGAAGACAATTGCAGAGAGTGTAAAATCGAGAAAATCGGTTGGGAAACACAGCGGATACGAGCGACGGAAACCTTAGCGTCCCTTTGGACGCCACGGCGAAGCCGAGGCACGCCGCCGCTTGCTGTTCGGTGTGTGAGAGTCGGAGACAATTGTGAGTGACGGGTACTGTGTTTTAAGTGAAGGGCTATTGCCCAGGACAAATTTCAGCCTAGAAACATTAAAATCCGGGAACGAACATTTGCGGAAAATACTTCGAGGAATCGAGGGAAGCGTGGAAAATGGCCGTCGCTCAGTGACTCTGGGGAATTTCCACAAGTGTGAAACCAGTGTTGCGAGTGGTGAATCGCGATTTCGAGCCAAGGGCTAGCCCTCCGAAGCAAGAAAGAGTGATAAACAGTCAAACGTGCGAGCAACAAAAACGGAATAATAAATCGAAAATTCCGAGCGAGGAAAGTGGGCTGACGCCTAGTGACTCTGGGGACATTTCGCTGGGGCGAAACCAGTGTCGCGAGCGGTGGATCGCGTTTTCTGGCAAGGGACTATCGCCCTGAAGCAAGAAAACGCGATAAAAACTAGAACTGGGGGAAAATAATTTTAAAGTTTCTGAGTGAAGAAAAATGGCCGCCGCCTAGTGTTTCTGGTGACACTGCGCGAGTGGCAAATACTGTTTCGAGTGGTGAAGCGCGTTCGGGAGTGAAGGGCTATCGCCCCGAAGCACGCGGACGTGAAAAACGCTGAAATCGGTGGATATTTTAAACAAATACATCGAAAGTGTGTGGTGAAACAGTTTCGGGAGCGACCGCGCGGAGACGGTGGCGCTGAGGATCGCCCTCAGGACCACCCAAGCAAACGGGCGCCCTGCGTAACGAAAATTTCTCCCCGAGAATTTTATCTTACTTTAATTTTCAGTATTACCTTCCCGGAACTACACGGACACTCGGTGCGTGTACAACGGCGAGGTGATTGGGGACGAGACGATACGGATAATCCGGAACAATCAGAGGCGGAAATATCGAGTGACAGCAGCGGAAATGCGCAAGTGACAGCGGTGCTTCGCGAAGCGACCGCGCGGCGACGGTGGCGCTGAGGCCCGTACTCAGGACCACCCTAGCCGCCCTCGGGTCCCGGGCAATTCCGGAAGTCACCAGAAGGTCACTACAAAGTCACCAGAAAGTCACTAAATAAATTGCGTATTCACAGATAAACGGGAAAGGAGCCAAGGGCTGCTGAGACGATGTCGAAGCAGCTCCAAACAACCAAGGAGAGGAGAGAGGCGAGCTCTGCCGGTGCAGTCACCAGCAGTAGCATCGCCAGAACGAGCAAATTGGAGATAATCCAGCTCGACGCTGAGAGGAACGAGGGTTTCGCGGAACAGGAGCTATTCCGCACTCCGTCAACGCGCGAGGCCGCGCGGAACACCGCGAGGAGAGGCTCGAGATCTGCTTCGATCTCGTCGAGGAGCAGCGACACCAGCTGCAATACGCGAAGGAGTATCTTCTCGGACTCCAGCGAGGACGACGACTTCGTCGCTCCCACGGGCGAGAGCGCAGGAGGAAAACGCCGGAAGGAGCACCACTCCCCCGGCGGCAAAATCAAGAGAGGACGCCCCATCACATCCGGGGAATTTAAGGATCGCGCGAAGGAGATCGAGCGATACAACCTCGCGAAGGAGAGACAGCTGGAGCTGCGTCAGCAGCTCGACCTGTTTAACCCGAGCGCCCCGGCACCAGCGCTGCCGGCGAAGTGGCTCCTCATACAAGAGGAGAAGATCGAGGAGGCGAAGAACCTCCCGACGGCGGATCTGCAGGCGCAGCTGACAAGCGCCTGCGATGGAATCGTGAAGGTTGTGAGCACCAGCTCCAACCTGAAGGGAACCTACCAGCAGGTACTTCGGAACGCCGCAATCCTGTTCAGAGCATTCGCTGGCGAGCTCGGGACGAGGACGGTCGCCACAGCTCCGGCGGCGAAGCTTGAGGAGGAGAACGCCGCCCTGAGAAGGAAGGTGGACGAGTTGGCAGCCAAAGTCGACACACTGACGGAAGCTGTCGCCGTCCAAGGGCGGAAATCGGAGGGGAGGAGCTGTCAGTCGAAGGGGGTGGACGCGCCATCCACAACGACTCGCGAGTCTCTGGAGAACGTAACCGCCGCCATGAACAGCATGGTGGTGGAGGAACCTCAGCTGGAACAACGGCGGCTGAGGGATAGAGTCCCGATGAAGAGGAGAGCCGTCGAGTCGTCGACGGAAAATAGCGCGGAGGAGGCGATGCCTCCACCCAGGCCGGCGAAGGTGGTCGCCGCCCCACCCGCCGAACAAGACAGGGAGGATAGGCTGATCCGCCTGATGGCGGAGATTGTGGAGAGGAAGCTGGACAATTTCCGGGAGGAGTTATTCCACGGAAAAACCGTGAGGCCACCCCTGGGTGTGAAACCCACCCAGGAGAAGAAGAAAGCGAAGGCTGGGACGACGAGGGAACGTCCAGAAGCCGCGAAGAAGAGGAGAACGAACGAGGAGAGGAAGAAGGAGGAAACCGCCGACGCCCGCCAGAGCACGCCGGAGAAAAATCCCGCCCCACCACCGCAGGAGAATACCTGGGCGAAAGTGGTCGGGAGGAAGGAGGCGAGGGCGTTGAAGGCGGCAGCGAAACAGCCCCAGAAGCAACAACAGCAACCAACAGGAGCGGCACAGCAGCCGAAACCGCGTCTCGCGAGAGCTCCGCGGACGGCCGCAGTCACGGTAACGATCCCACCGGAGGTTCAGA